AACAACACCACCACCAACAACAACAACACCAACAACAACACCAACACCAACAACAACAAGAACAACAACAACACCAACACCAACAAACCGACCCGAACCGAATCGACCGAACGCAACCGACTCCGACGCAGCTGAACCGACCGAAACCCGGATTCCCTTCTCCCCCCCTCCTCCAGCTGCTCGTCCTGTGCTCAACACTCTTCCTTGTCAGCAACTCCTCCTCGTCACAGCACCAGGCGTGCCGGTAGGACGGCCGTGGCGCGTTCGCCCGAGAACTCATCACGTTCTATGCTCATGAAACTTAGATCTTCCGTCACCGCCAACCACATGAACAGAGGACGGGCGGCTTTGGGCATCTTGCTCTCGCCGTAGCGCTGCGCGCATTGGCCCCGAAATTGTCCCACAGTCCCAGTTACACGGATGGAAGTGCGCTCGTCATTGCAATATGGATCTCGCCGCAACGCCGCGCGCATTCGTCACACACTCATGTAACAGTTGTACGGATGGAAGTGGTACCGTATTCCACATGCAGCTCTCGCCGTAGCGCCGCGCAACTCCGTCTATTGCACGTCTGCGTCACTTGCATGTGAGGAACGTGGCCACATGAAACTCAATCTTGCGCAACAATTCCGCGGACGGAATACGGTATTGTTTCAAAGCATGGTCTTGCATGGTAGTTGCCTTTACGATGCATCTTGACGCGTGCATGGGTTCCAACTGGCAGGGCCACTGGGCACTCCTCCTTCAAGGGGCCGATCCCCGCAGTGACAGAAGTACTGCTCTCGCGGTCGTGCACCCACGAGATGCCGTCGTATATTCCTGAGCAGTGCGGGAAGCATCGACGTCGACGATGGAAACCCAAGGCCCCCGAGAGTCAGAAGCTGGTACGGGGGGAAAACGCAAACGAGTACATGGAAGCACGTGGGTGGAGCTGCGGGGATGGGGGGTAGGGGGGAGAACGGGTGGGTGGGGTGGATGGGGTGGTGGTGGGTGGTGGGTGGGGCGGTGTGGGGGGGGGGGGAGGCAGCGCTGTGGACGTTGCCGGGCTGCTCAGTCTTGAGTGCCTCTTGAAAAGGGTGCTTTCGTCGCCTGATAACCGTATGAAAAGGGGATCCTGAGCTCACGACAATGACAACCACACTGGATCCCAATGCAACACAATGAGCGACGGCTGAGTGTTCCCTGGCCTCTTAGCACTTGCGCCCCATGCAAAAGGAGCGGCTGACAGATGCTTGCCACAAAGCGCAACGGGCAAGTGATGGCAAGGTAAGTGCAAATCTCCGGCATCTGGAATCCATTGTCCACTCACGCTGAAACGTGCACCTACGATCGACGGGTATTCCAAACTGCCCTCGAACGGACATGCACAACGTCATTATGTAGTTACTGTAATAGATGGTACTTGAGGGACAGGGGGATGCATACCAGGATATACCTGAGCATGTTGTGTGAACGAGAACAAACATAATGATATGATGGTGGCTGCGCCACACGCATGCAGGAACGTGACCTTATGCACACGGGCATTTTAACGTATCAACAGCGGAAGGGTGGCACATTGAAATCACTGTTAATACATATACTTACGATTATGTGCATGCGCATCGGTTTATCGATGATTACATAAATATATGTATACAAATATACACATCGATATATGTGTATTTTTTATGCACATGTTTAGCACACGCATCCGCAGCCATGTCGTAGGCACTGGGTGGCTGCTCTCAAGCTCCTTCGAATTCCAAGTGTTGAATACTCTTCTTGTCCTGCCGAGACCCCAGACACCGGAAGTCTGGGCGCTCCTGGGAATCGCCGCGTGACTTTTCTGGAGGCCTCGGGAGCATTGTTGGGCTTCCACACGTTCGGCATTGTTTTTAAGATGGTCCCAGGGCCCGTCCTGAAGCCCTCTTCAGCCATCTTGGAGGCTCTGTGAACCACCGCAATTCGCCGAACTCACTGAACAACCCCATGTGTCTCGATGATTTCAGCCTTCTCGCCTTTTCGGTTTGCTGCTGCTCTGAGCGGTCTAGGGTTCCCCGTCCCCAGTGTGGGACTCTTCTGTTGCCCTTTTTCACCACTGTTAGAAACCTCCAGCGAAACACTCTTATGGAAATGTGTAGCTGGGACAAAGGGTGGGAGCATGGCCATGTGCACAGTAGTGTGTTTGTAAAAGGGATCGTTTCCGTCTGGACCAAAAGTGCAGCTGGCATTGAGGCGAGAGCACGTTTCCTGAATAACTCGTGAAGAAGCCTCAAACGAAACGGGCTGTCGGACTGGGCGGTCTGAGGCTCCCCGCCCCACCTGTGGGACTCAGTTTTTTTCTGCAATTTTGGCGAAACGTTACTGTTAGGGAATGATGCGGCCAGGGACTGAGGGTGAGCGCACGACCAGCAGTGTGGCTGGCATTGAGGCGAAAGCACGGTTCTTTTATACATTGTGAGATCGGGGGGGCACAAAGGTGGGGTAGGGGCAAAGGTGGGGTTGGAGGAACAACCGCTCAGGACGGCCCCTGGAACAAGGAAGCGCCCCATCCCACCTTGGGATAACCCTCCCTCTATGACACGAGAAGCTCTGAAGCGAAACCGCCGCCAAACTGGGCGGTCTAGGGACCCCTCATGCGAAACCGCCGCCGCACCGTGCCCCAGACTGGGCGGTCTGGGGTACCCCGCTCCCCCTGTGGGACTCCCCGGGTGTCCTCCAATATATATATATATATATATATATCTATAGATATGTAGCAATGGGTCGTGGTCTTCCGGACAACAAATGCAGCCTGCATGAGCTCAAGGTACGATTCTTGAATCCATTGCGAAGAAATCTCAAGCGAAACCGTCGCCAGACCGTGCTAGACCAGGCGGTCTAGGGTTCCCCGTCCTTCCCTTTTTTACTTAACAGCGAAGACTGATAGGTTTCTAATGGGGTCAAAAGAAAGCATCATGACGCCCCAAAGGGGTCTGGGCGCGATCCCGGGGAGGATGCCGGGGACTCCTTTTTTAGCAAACAGTAACGCACTTCGTGGTCTTCGACTTCCCAGAACTCCATTCCTGGGCATGATTTTGAATGCCCGGAGCCAACTGTAGGCCACTTCGTGTTCTTCGAGTTCCCAGAACACCATTCCTGGGCATGACTTTGAATGCCTGGAGCCAACTGTAGGCCACTTCGTGGTCTTCGAGTTCCCAGAACTCCATTGCTGGGCATGATTTTGAATGCCCGGAGCCAACTGTAGGCCACTTCGTGGTCCTCGAGTTCCCAGAACTCCATTCCTGGGCATGATTTTGAATGCCCGGAGCCAACTGTAGGCCACTTCGTGTTCTTCGAGTTCCCAGAACTCCACTCCCGGGCCACCAATGCTGAGGCAGGCTGAGGCTGAGGCTGAGGCTGATGCAGGCTGAGGCTGAGGCAGGCTGAGGCTTGACTGAGGCTGAGGCTGAAGCAGGCTGAGGCTGAGGCTGAGGCAGGCTGAGGCTGAGGCTGAGGCAGGCTGATGCTGAGGCAGGCTGAGGCTGAGGCTGAGGCTGATGCTGAGGCTGAGGCTGAGGCAGGCTGAGGCTGAGGCAGGCGAGGCTGAAGGCAGGCTGAGGCTGCAGGCTGAAGCAGGCTGAGGCTGAGGCTGAGGCTGAGGCAGGCTGAGGCTGAGGCTGAGGCAGGCTGCAGGCTGAGGCTGAGGCTGAGGCTGATGCAGGCTGAGGCTGAGGCCGCTGAGGCTGAAGGCAGATTGAGGCTGAGGCTGAAGCAGGCTGAGGCTGAGGCTGAGGCAGGCTGAGGCTGAGGCGGCTGGCTGAGGCTGAGGCAGGCTGAGGCTGAGGCAGGCTGAGGCTGAGGCCGAGGCTGAAGGCAGACTGAGGCTGAGGCTGAAGCAGACTGAGGCTGAGGCTGAGGCAGGCTGAGGCTGAGGCTGAAGCAGGCTGATGCTGAGGCAGGCTGAGGCTGAGGCTGAGGCTGATGCAGGCTGAGGCTGAGGCAGGCTGAGGCTGAGGCCGAGGCTGAAGGCAGACTGAGGCTGAGGCTGAAGCAGGCTGAGGCTGAGGCTGAGGCAGGCTGAGGCTGAGGCAGAGGCAGGCTGAGGCAGGCTGAGGCAGGCTGAGGCTGAGGCTGAGGCTGATGCAGGCTGAGGCTGAGGCAGGCTGAGGCTGAGGCCGAGGCTGAAGGGACTGAGGCTGAGGCTGAAGCAGGCTGAGGCTGAGGCTGAGCAGGCTGAGGCTGAGGCAGGCTGAGGCTGAGGCTGAGGCAGGCTGAGGCTGAGGCTGAGGCAGGCTGAGGCTGAGGCTGAGGCTGAGGCTGAAGCAGGCTGAGGCTGAGGCTGACTGAGGCCGAGGCCGAGGCTCAGGACTGAGGCTGAGGCTGAGGCAGGCTGAGGCTGAGGACGAGGCTGAAGGCAGACTGAGGCTGAGGCTGAAGCAGGCTGAGGCTGAGGCTGAGGGAGGCTGAGGCTGAGGCTGAGGCAGGCTGATGCTGAGGCAGGCTGAGGCTGAGGCTGAGGCTGATGCAGGCTGAGGCTGAGGCAGGCTGAGGCTGAGGCCGAGGCTGAAGGCAGACTGAGGCTGAGGCTGAAGCAGGCTGAGGCTGAGGCTGAGGCAGGCTGAGGCTGAGGCTGAGGCAGGCTGATGCTGAGGCAGGCTGAGGCTGAGGCTGAGGCTGATGCAGGCTGAGGCTGAGGCAGGCTGAGGCTGAGGCCGAGGCTGAAGGCAGACTGAGGCTGAGGCTGAGGCTGAGGCAGGCTGAGGCTGAGGCTGAGGCAGGCTGAGGCAGGCTGAGGCTGAGGCTGAGGCTCATGCAGGTGAGGCTGAGGCAGCGGTGGCTGAGGCCCGAGGCTGAAGGCAGGACTGATGCTGAGGCTGAAGCAGGCTGAGGCTGAGGCTGATGCAGGCTGAGGCTGAGGCAGGCTGAGGCTGAGGCTGAGGCAGGCTGAGGCTGAGGCTGTGACTGCGACTGCCGTTGCCACTGCGACTGTCATCGCGAAAGCGACTACGACTGCGAGAACAGCAGAATTCTACAAGTGGATTTTCATCTGGATCTTAAGGGGAATGCTTCCAGATATGCTCCTACACATCGCTGTTAGGTTGCTTTGCTGGATCATTTTGTTTTTTTCTTCGTTTTATTATACCACCGTGAGAACCCTCTAGCGAAAAGCTTTTAAGGAATGCCATCGAACAGTCCATGCTGTTTGCGCTTGGAGGGCCTCCTGCGGGGTTGTTTGGGCCGCCTTCGGGCGTCTGGTGGGTGCTTAGGGCCGCTTGCTTGGGTTTCTCGCGGAGCCGTTTGGCCACGCAACTGACCGCTCTGGGGTTCGTTTTCGAAGGCCGGCGAGGACGTCCGGGAAACCCAGAGGGCGGAAGGAGCGCCCTGCGTAGGGCGTGAAGGGTGCCCGAGGAGGCCAAGCTGGGGTCCGAGTGCGCTCCGAGTGTTCTCCGTCCAGTGTCCGGGCACTCGAGAGTATAAGTGTGTGTGTGTGTGTATGTACGTGGGTGTATACATTTCTCCCTCTCTCTATGTATGTATGTATGTATGTATGTATGTATGTATGCATGCATGCATGTATGTATGTATGTATGTATGCATGTATGTATGTATGTATGTATGTATGTATGTATGCATGCATGCATGTATGTATGTATGTATGTATGTATGTATGTATGTATGTATGTATGTATGTATGTATATATATATATGTATGTATGCATGTATGTATGTATGTATGTATGTATGTATGTATGTATGTATGTATGTATGTATGTATGTATGTATATATTTGTATGTACACATGCTTTTAGCCATATGTACCACATACAAATATACACGTGTGTGTATAGTTGCGAATGTATACGAAGATAGTGTGTGTGTGACAACAGAAGGCAATAGGATATTGAGAGAGAAAGGGAGAGAGAGAGAGAGAGAGAGAGAGAGAAAGAGAGAGAAAGAGAGAGAGAGAGAGAGAGAGAACACGAGAGAGATGGAGAGAGAACGAGAGAGAGAGAGAGAGAGAGAGAGAGTGAGAGAGTGAGAGAGAGATAAATGGAGAGATAAAAAGAGAGAGAGAGAGAGAGAGAGAGAGAGAGAGTAAGAGAGAGAGAAAGAGAGAGAGAGAGAGAGATAGAGAAAGAGAGAAAGAGAGAGATAACGAGAGAGAGAGAGAGAGAGAGAGATGGAGAGAGAGAGAGAGAGAGAGAGGCAGCGAGAAATAGAGAGGAAATCACACATGTATTTGAGGTCGGTGAGGCAATGCGCACAACTCTCGCCGGGTGCAAGGTAAGCGGCGCGTAAAATACATTCTCTGGCTAGCGGGAGTATACCGGATTCGCGCATGAAGCGCGAGTACCGCGTCCCATAGCAACCCTCGCAGCACTGTTAGGCTCCCTCCCTCCCTCGCCGAATAGACCCGCGGACAACGACAGCTGTGCCAGTCCACCGCAGAGCTCACCCAGACCAGTTCGCTGCATGTCGACAGACGGGGAGCCACAGGGCTTGGAGACGGAGGTGGGAAGGCGAGGGAGGGGAGGGGGACGGGAGGGGGCGGAGACGAAAGGCGTGTGGGGGGGAGGGTGGGGGGGAGAGAATGGATGATAGATGGAGAAGAAGAGCGTTGGAGGGATGGCAGACGAAATTGCCACCTCTCCTTCGTCCTCCCCTCCCTTCGCTCCTGCTCCCCGAGGCCGCCCGAGCTGTGTGTGGCAGCGACGTCCCGCAACTCACGCGGGAGATGCCGTCTGTGGTGCACCCTGTCGTTCTATCTGACGCGCTCCAGCATGCAACACGATGCAATGCATGAACTATGTTCCTGAATAGCTCGCAGGGAACTAAGACGGTTTCGAATTAAGAAGCGGAGCGGCAAGGCAGCCCCGGAAACGTGTCCCGAGAGACCCTCTCCAAGCGTTTCCCAATGCGTCTGTCCAGAAGCTCTCCAGGAGGTCCTTCGGAAGCTCTCTCCAAGTCCTTCCAGAGATCTTCGGCAGGCCTTCGCACGCCCTCCTGCCGCCCTGCTACATACCCGGGTTTTGCACCTCGCAAATGGTGATATACGGCGGGCGGTATTTGTAATCCACCACCCCGGGTGCGACTCGTGCTGTTCGGTGGTGGCCCGATGTGATGCTGCATCTGGCTGGACTCCTCCGCTCATCATCCGCATCCCCTCTGTGTCAGTGCCGCCAACAGCGCGAGTCACTGCAGCGCGCAAGAGGCGTCCGTGCCACCTCTGGCGCCACTGCTGCGCATAAAGCTAATCGTGCGGCGCGTTCCTGGGTTCCTCGAACCCAGGACGCGCTGGTCAGAGTGGAAGAGCAGTCTGCGACTCTACCATGCACTCATTCCCTGCCGCCCGTTCCTGCTCCTTGCCTTTTTCCTCTTCTTCCACGGACATGGCCCCGAGGGCGTGTGTCCATGCCCCAGCATCGGTCCCTGCGAAAGGGGGGGGGGAATTCATGCATTCGCGATGCTGCTGAGGAGGATGCCCCGACCCAACCTGCCTGTTCCCCGCCACAGCTATGAGCTGCCCCCCGTGGCTGCTGCCCGATTCATAACCTGCCTACGTAGGTGGGTTCATTCAGCCTCCTCGCGATTTAGCAGCCGTTGCGTGAGACATCAAGCGCCCTTGCAGTGCACGGGCTTCCACGCAACATGAGGGCACCGAGGTGGGACGCGATGCGGTGAACTTGCTTCTGGACGGGCTGGAAGCAGCGGCTGACCACGGCCTTCCAAACGTTGGACATCAACCTGGGCATACAACCCTCTTTCCGATGCTTGCTTTCCACTCCGTAGCCGACTGGGAATTAGCATCGTATGCCGATGAATGTATAAGTGTATCTGTAACTATACGTGAATGCAATCATTTTACTTTTTTGGGTGGTCCGAAGTGTCTTTTGATGCCTCCTCGGGCACCTTGGGGCCTCTTCGTGGCGTCTGGGGAAGCCTCTTGGGGCTTTCTGGGGGTACCTTGATCTCATTCGTGACATGCTTGGGCCCCTTCTGCCTCACTTCATTGCCCAAGGGGGTTCAGGATGGCGTCAGTTGCCGAACAAGCATCCTCAGCACATATTTCGGAGCTCTCCTCCTCCTCCTCCTCCTCCTCCTCCTCCTCCTCCTCCTCCTCCTCGTCCTTCTCCTCCAAGCTACGCCACTAACTAGGGTGCCGAAAACCCCCCCCCCGGCCTACATGACCGGAACCGTCCTCAAAGACCCCCCCACTGCCCTTGACACTCGATCGGAGTCGGAATCGGATGCGTTGGCAGCTGCTGAAGCCACAACTCGAAGCCGAGGAGGAGGAGGAGGAGGGGGAGGAGGAGGAGGAGGGAGAGGAGGAGGAGGAGGAGGAGGAGGAGGAGGAGGAGGAGGAGGAGGAGGAGGAGGAGGAGGAGGAGGAGGAGGAGGAGGAGGAGGAGGGGGAGGAGGAGGAGGAGGACACGAGGCGGAGGAGAAGGCAGGCTCCCTCCTCTGGGATTTGCCTCTCTCAGCTGCAGCTCGGCCTCAGGAGCGATCACGGGCGGGGTCGGCGACAGTGACAGTGCGAAGCTCCCGCCAAGGCGCGGCTGATAGAATGGGCCCTAGGGCCCGCCCTCCCCAGATTCCGAAAGGAGTCTCTCAACCCCTGTGGGAGCCAGTTGGCGCCGTTTTGAGCCAGCAGATCGCACCGACGCAGTACCCCAACATACCTCCTCTTCCTTTATCCTCCTTATCCCGCTCCTCCACCAGCTCCTCCTGCTTCTCCTCCTCCACCTCCGCCTCTTCCTCCTTCTCCTCTTCTTCCTCCTCCCCTTCCTCCTCCTCCTCCTCCTCCTCCTCCTCCTCCTCCTCCTCCTCCTCTTCATCCTCTGGGGAGAGAGACCGAACATCCAACGCCGTGGTTTTAGTTCTTAGCGCGGCCCCTTCAACTCCCGACCCCTACCCTGGCCAAATTCCCCGCACCGGGTCATGTTTGACTGGAGGACTAAGAAAACATAATCATGATTTCTCGGAGGCCTGCGTGGATTTCTTGGATCGGCGCTGGACCCCCCCTCCTGGCGCGCGGAGCGCGCCATGGGGCGGCGCCAGAAAAGCAGGGGGGGGCAACGCCACTCCAAGAAATCCGCGCGGAGACCGCCGAGAAGACACACGCACTTGAATTGAACTATATTAGTCAACAGCCCTGGCCACTGACACGCGGGATCCGTGACAAGGAGCTGAGGGGCAACGATAGGGGGGGACTGGCACAGGGGTGGATGCATCGACCTGCAATCGGCGAAGCATCGCCGACAGATCGGCGATGGGCCCCCGATGGTGCATCCGCACCTTCCTGGGCGGGGTTGGGGCTATCGGGCCCCTATCTGCGATCAATGGGCGTTCGGGGATAGATGCGCCCTCCCTATGCCTATCCCCGCTACCGTTGCCCCTGAGAAGCCTGCTGGGAGTGGGGATAGGATGCTTCCCGCCGATCTTGGGGTGACGGCCCGAAGCGAAGCTATCTCGGCGCCGCTGTCGCTAAGGGTTATCCTGTAAGGCCAGGGGGTCGCACTCAGCGAAGAGCTGGGAAGTCTCAGCTCGCTCCGAAAAGGAGCCGCGTTTCGTGCAGCCTATTATCTCACCAGCTCTGTACAAGATGTGGCCTCTTGCGGCCTCGGGTGGGACGGGACCCTCCGCGGGGGAGCACCATGCTTGGGAGGACCGCGCGAGCCCTACCAGGGGCCGAAGGACGAGGGCGCTTCTTCGAACCATTACCCTCGACGTCCATGGCTTCGCAGAGAGCAGCCTGACGGCGCGACGCGGCGACAGGATTCACACCAATGATTGAACTTGCCTTATAAAAGGCTCCGCCGCCTTCTCCAAGGGCCTGGCCTGGGACCTGGGCCTGGGCTTAGGGTGAGGCAGAGGCGGGGGGAAAGGAGGAGGCGGCAAGTCAGCAGGAGGAACGTCAGCAACGGCAGGGAGGCTTGAGGGGACGGAGTCGGAGGAGGGATCGGTCCTGGGACGCGCGACCCTCGTCTCTGGGTCTTACCCTTTACTGTCCCTCTTGGGGCGTTGGGGTCCTCTTAGGCTGCTCAGCTCCGTGGTGGGGGGCGGGAACCTACCAGTAGCAGACAAGACAATTTTTGACCGACAACACCTTACGTCCAGATGCCTTCCGCGAGCAGCGCGTGCAATGAATGAAGTTCCAACAGTTCTCGACGCGGGCAAGCTCATGGTGCCGCTCGCTCGCTGCCAGCATTGGTGGCGGCCGACACTGTCGTGGTTGCCCACGTCGGCAGCGCCGATCTCGGAGAGGGCGGCGGGCTGGTGATGGGGTCCTGACAGGAGCTGCAGCCTCGATGAGCTCCTGGGAGTTGCCGATCCAGGTGTCAATCTGCCTGACCTTATCGAAGAGGGCAGCGCGGGCCTCCCTCGCGTCAAGCGTAGGCCGTGCTTGGCGAGACCTCTTTTGGCTGCGATGTCGGCGTAATCATTGCCTTTCTCCCCCTCGCCCGTTTCGGCTGCAATGTGTATGGTGGCCTTCCGCGTGTGGAATTGTGAGCATCTCCGATAGGCGTCCGTGATCCTCCAGCGCACGCCATAGGGATTTCCACAACTCCACGTTCGACCTCCTCGCGTAAAGGCACCATCCCTCTCCGTCGTTGGTGCCCCCGATCGTTGACATGCAGTCAGCATGGATGTGCAAGGGCAAGATGCCATGCGTGAGGGTCATGATCGCTGCGGACATCTCCGCTTGAAGCACCGACTGCTGCGCGCTTGGGGTGTGGGGGACCGCTGGCGAGGCCCTTCAGCTGCTTGCCGTGCATCGCGGCCATCCCCCACCCAGCTCTCGATGCTTCGGGCCATCCAACGAGGGTCCGTCCAGCTCCATCTGTGTGGACGTCTCCTGTGATAATCGTTTTCTGGCCGCCGAAGTCGTAGCGCCAACGTTCCTCATCGCACGCGCGTGGGCGCCGTGGTAGAGCATCGCGTGGTACAAGGGTTCGAGTGTACAACAGGTAGTTGGCAGAAGTCACCGCCGCCTCTTCGATGATGCTCTGATTCACTGCCTGTGCTCGGACCCCCGCCACATTGGGTGGAGTGTGCTGGTTGGAGTGGATTGTGCGGGTGCAATCCAAGAGGTGCTGGCAATCTCCATAACATATCCGCGCTTGTGTAGTCTTGCTTTTGGGCCGCTGCTCACATATGCTGCTGGATCTAAGGGCGACTCTCGCGCACTGAGACCCCCCCACCTCTTTGACTTCTCCTTCGGAGCCATCAGGAACTACAAAGGCGCCAACCAGTATCCGCATGGCTGTCTCCGCGGAAGAGAGGTCTCACGCGCGTGATCCTGACGCGTCGATCCTCACTTCATGTTGGTGAAGGACCTTCTCGCTTGGGCCCGAGCCCAATCTGGATAATCCACGTCCAAGTCAAGCATGATGCCAATGGAGGTCACCCAGACGAAAGGCGATACCACTCTCCAGTTCAGCTGCTGGAGAAGGCGCCATGCTGCGCCTGCTGGACCTGCCGCGCCCATCATCCTAGGTGGACTCCCAAGTAGTTACTGCCGTCGATAGAAATCTTTCTCCAGCATAGCATGTGGTGCAGCAGTGTCCGCGACCATCTGGGCCCGCGTGTGCATGGGCTCTGCCGCTGCGAAAATCTCAGGATGTCGGTCTTGTCGAGGCCCGAGCTGCGAGGCAAGCCGCGTGGGGGTAGCTGACGGCGCGCGGCCTCATCCTACTCGAACCATCCAGGTCATCCCACGCAACGTGTTCTTGGGTGCTCCAATGACCTGGGCCCCGTGCAAGAGCGCAAGGCCAATGCGTCGCGGCGCAACCTCTCGTCCAACCTTTGCGAAAACAACCAATCGTCTGAACCGTGTGGGTCGCTTCTTCATGCTGCGCATCCTCTTCCGGATTGCACTGTGCTTCAGGTTGGCTCCTGCTCTAGCTTCCATGCCGAAGATGTCCATGGCTGTGGACGCTCTGAAACCATGATGTCGCATTTGCTTGAACGCGCGTGGTGCCGCGCCGAATGATGTCGCCGTGATCTGGCCTTTTCGGGTGCGGTGGCCAGCTCCGAAACAAAGTGTCGTTGCCAGCCTCCTTCTCGCGCGTGCCGAATGATCCGCGGCTGTCTCAGCGTCGCCGCCCACCTGCAATGTGATACCGTCTGCGTGCATGCCTAGCAAGTGGTGGGCCGAATCTTCCTCGAAAGACCTCTCGAAGGTGCTCAATGATAGCGTCATCGCGAAACGTAGGACAAACGCTGCCACCGAGCATCCTGGGATGGCGCCTCGATGCGCCTGGGCTGCGCATGAATCCGACGTTCCCCGCCTGATGCGCCTGGGGGCGCAATGGATGGCGAGACGCATCTTGAGCATTGCCGTTGGGAACTTGGAATGGGCAGCCGCCTGCAACGCCCTCTTCCAGCGCG